TTCAGATGAACTGAAGCATGGTAGGTATTTGGGGAGTTGGGGTGAAGCTGGAGAACAGGTGAAAACCGGCACATGAGGAGTTTAAATGGCAATTGGATTTTATCTTGAGGATAACTGGAGACCAGTGACAGATTTAAGCAGGAATATGTGGAGGGTGGGTTGAGGATGATAATAGGTAGAGGGAAATTGGTTCAGGGTTTTATATAAAAGCCAGGTTATCAGGTCTCACCTGTCACCTTAGTGCTTTTTCTGGTCTTAACTGCTTTCTCTGATACCAGAGTGGTTCACTCTAGAGGTGCCCTTTGCCTGGTCTGCTTCAGGCAGTGCTTTGACTGCACGATGGCAGCAGACCTTGGAGCATCGCAGATATCTGGTCCCTGGTGATGGGTATCTGTCCTATGTGAGGCAGAAGGTGCAGCCATTTCTGTTCTGTGGAGTAAGTTGGATGGCAAGAGGCCCTTGGTAAATGCATGGACAACATTACTGGGTTTCAATACTAAGTCTGCTATGTCCTAGCTATGGAGACATTAGAGAAGTTACATAACCTCTCTGAACCTCATCTGTAAAATGGAGATAATGCTAACCCTAGTGTAGTTGTTTTTTTGAGAACTGAATTCGATGATGATAACAAAAATGATCCTTTAGTAATTGTCAATTTTATGTCAGGCCCTGGCCCAGGTACATTCACTAACTAATTAAAACATGTGTCAAACACCAGAAATTGTGTTTAGTTCATGATAGGTACTCAATAAATATTAGATTCCTCCTCCCACCTCCTCCTGATCATTGCATTTCCTACAGTGTGTCAGTGGCTGATAGATTGTTGTCTTAGCACTGTCTTCCAAATCATGTTATTTATTCTTACAAATTGACACAGAGAGAAAATAATGAAGATTTAATTCATGTTCAGGGAGCAGCCAGTGAGTAATTCCCAACATTGTTTCTTTAAGGAAGTACTTGGGGCTTAGGAATCAGCTGTATTTTTATAATTTATAATTTATACCCAAATTATAATTTAATACAATTAGCCCTTTAACTTAAATTTTAGGCTCAGCGTCTTGGACTGCTACAGAAACCAGTCAGAGCTGCTACTTTTGGACTGTGACATTGTTTGATATTTTGATATTAGTGCCCATCTTTTGACCAAATAATCAGAATAAATATCTGAATGCAAGTTCTGTTTAATGGACAAAATGTAGGATGTAAGGCTGTCCAAGGGTTAGAATGAGTTGTATGTCCCTACCTAGGTGCCTGACCGGCTTCTGATAATGCTGGGCCTTAGCTTTGTCTAAAAATAAATGAAAATGCCTCTTCGTCTTCAGTAACATTGCTCACTATAGCCTTTTTTTTTCCTTCTTTGTGTAGATTTTCGGTAACCAGATCCTCTTTGACAATGTAAAGCATGGATTAAAACTAACTCTGTAGCAATCCTAGGATTATTGGCTCAGGAGAATAAATCTTGGGTTGACTGTGAGATGATTTCACTTAAGTCTCATTTTGAAGAAAGCAGCTATAGGAGAGGCAGCTCTGAGCATGGTTTACTGTTATTCCTGGTTTCCCAAGAGCAATTCATATGAGTATCACAGTCCAATGTGCATATGGCACGAGTGATTGTTTCTGACAAGTATGGTGGGTTGCTGGCAGTCGTGAATATACCTGAAAACTGGCTGTGGTTCTGGGCCAAGCCCTCATCCCTGGTCAACAGAGCAAAACTTGAGGAAAGCAAGAGTCACGGTCATTGAAACACTCATCTGCTTATGTGTGTCTACGGTGCCACCCAAGACCGAAGTTAGCTTATCCCTGGAGATTAGTATAAAACTAGAGAATTTGTGAACATGCTGTGTGTCTAACCATGATATAATCTTTCTTCTTTCTTTTTTTTTTTTTTTAGAAATGGGGGTTTCACCATGTTAGCCAGGCTGGTCTCGAACTCCTGACCTCAGGTGATCCTCCTGCCTCAGCCAATCTTTCTTCTTTCTTTCCTCAAAAATTTCTCTTCCTTCTGGACATAGGTTGTTTATCATACCCCAGTCACAAATGCTTCCTCAGAGGGTACGAGGTAAGGGATGAGATTAATATGCAACCTTTCCCTTACTTCTATCTTTTATTTTCCAGCAACAGCTGCAGGCCTATGTGGCCTGGGTGAATGCACAGCTGAAGAAGAGGCCAGCAGTGAAGCCTGTGCAGGACCTGCGACAGGATCTCCGGGACGGGGTGATCCTGGCATATCTCATCGAGATTGTTGGTCAGTTGGCCCTGGACTCTGATGCTAGCATAGACCAGAACATGGCCTTCTTTATCATCCTTACGCCCTTTAGAGCAGATTGTTTTTCCTTTAGAATATATGGCAGTGGAGGTAGAGAAGACTTAAAATACCTGTCCAAGGTTAATTCATTTATTAGTCAATAAATATTGTGTCCCAGGCACTATGTTATGCTTTGATAATGTGAGGATGAAAATAGTCTATGTTCTCAAGAGTCTACCAAACTAGTTGGAAAGGCTGGGAAGTGAAGTCAATTCCATTAATGTACTTAGTACTCCAGTGGGGTAAGCATGGATGGGAGCACATAGGTGGGATACCCAGCCCAGTCCTAGGGGCTCAGGGATTAGCTTACCAGAACTGATGTCTTAACTGATGCCTGCCAAAAAATTGGTATCTAAGCCAAGGCCAGAGAAGGAAGTAGTAGCCAGGTAAAAGGAGGGGTGTTAACTGGCAAAAGGACCCTTCTACCATAATGCTTCATAAAAGGTTTTTTTCCTCTTGAAGCCCTGGGGTTGTTGCCAGTCATTCTTACTAGATGGTACCATAACCTTATTTCCATAGCATTTGTCCATATTATTTCTCTCATCAAATGGAAATTATGTGGCTATCATTCATTTACCTACCCTGTGTGGACTGAGCTCTTTTTTTTTTTTTCTTTTCTTCGAATCACCCTCCCTGGACTGAGCTCTTTAAGAGCAGGCATGGTATAATATTTTTCTATGTATATAAGCTTTTAACCAAGTGCACATAATAGATTATCAAAGATTTATTGTTATGTTAGCTGACTTTGCTTTGAGCTCTTGAGGGATATGGGGCCTGCAAGTTGTACGGAAGAAGCCAGGTTTGCAACAGGCAGCCCATCCATGAATACCTCACTAGGACAGTTTATGAATTCGTCAGGGTATTCATGTGTAATGACAATAATAATAGCTAATAATAGCAATGGTACTAGCAACTGCTAGGATTGAATACTTTCTATCTTGTTTAATTTCATTTAATCATCACATCTTTGGGAAACATAATATTATCCCCACTTTTAGGAAACACGCTTAAAAGAGAAGATTTATAAAAATAAATAAATTCATTGAGTACTTAGCATGAGTCAAACAAAATAGCTAAGCATGCTATTTTGATTTATTTATGACAGGTGTATAATATGACTACTACTATTTTATTCATTTTATGAGGCTTAGAGAGGCCAAGCAACTTTACAAAGTCACATAACTATAAGTGCCAAAGTAGCGGTACAAACCTAGCTCTATTTTAATTCCAAAGCCTCTTTTCAACATTTAATGTTTCATTTATTAGAATAGGTGAGACATGGACTAGTAGGAAATCCAGAGGTACAAAAGGATGTAAGGTCAAACCTTTTTTCCACTTATGTCTTCCCACCAGCTCCCCATTTTTCCTTCTAGAGGCAACTAGTGTTAGTAGTTTCTTGATTTCTTCCCAAAGAAAATTCCCATTCTATGTCTATACAAGTCATACTAATAGGTATTCTTATTTTTCCAAAACTAGGCTCTTTTTTTTCCCCATCGTACCCTTTCCCCACAAAACCCAGGTTTTTAAACACGACTTTCTTTCCTTCTTTTTTAAAATTTACTTTCAATTTGGGTTGTCACCAAAAACACAACTTTCTATTGTGACTTTGCGAGATAGAAAAACTCCTCACAAGATTTTGCCTATACTCACTGAATCCACTTCTTTATTTCCTATTCTTTCTTTAACCTGCCCTTAAGCTTTTGATCTCAGTCCACTGAAACCTTTCCTCAAGGTCATATCAAATCCAGTGGCCAGGCCTCAGACCTCATTTTATTCAACACAGCAGTACTTGACATAGTTGATAACACTCTTCTCTTCACAAACTTTCTTTACTTGACTTCCAGAATTCTATTAGCTTCTATTTTACTTCCTTCCTCACTGGCTTCTTTTATTTGTTTTGCTGGCTTTTCTTTTCCTTCTTGACCTCTAATGCTGGAGTGCTGTTTCTCTACTCCTAAGTGATGTCTTCCCAAATTTGTGTCTTTAGCCTTGAATTTTTCCTTGAGTTCTAGACATGAATATCCAACATCTCTACTTAGATGTCTAACATGCAACTCAAATTTCACATGTCCTAATCAGAAATTTGGCTGTCCTTCCCCCACCAATCTCTTTATTCTCCACGTTTCTTCATCTGAGTAACACACTGCATTATCATTTGCCTAGGTGTTAAAGCAGCACACTTAGAAGGTATCCTTAACTGTCCTTTTTCTCATATATCATATCGAATCCTTCATATGTGCTATCTGCTTTGTATTCACAATATACCTGATACCTAACTTCTCATCAGTCAGCTTCTTCCATTGTAGCCCAAATCACCATCATGTCTTGCCTTGACTATTTTCATCAACCTTCTGACTGATCTCCCTATTTCCTCTCTGCATAGTCTGTTTCCACACAGAGTCCATTTTATTTATTTATTTTTATTTTTGTAGAGACGGGGTTTTTACCATCTTGCCCAGGCTAGTCTTGAACTCCTGGACTCAGGTAATTCTCCTGCCTTGGTTTCCCAAAGTGCTAGGATTATGGGTGTGGGCATAAGCCATGATGCCCTGCCAATCAACTTTTAAAAACATGAACCAGATTATGTCACTCTTTTGTCTCAGACTCTCCATTGGCTGCTCATTACACTTAGGATAAAATTCAGGCTCTTTGCCCTTTCTTGTCCAGAAAGCCCTGCACGCCCTGGCCTTGCTTACCCCTCTAGCCTCTCCTAGGACTTGACTCCTAGCTCACTCCCCCAGCCACATTGCTCTTGCTATTCTTCAGGTAAGCTGAGCTTGGGGTTTGGTCCCTGTGGTTCCTCAGTCTAGAATGCTTCCTCCTCAAATCTTAACATGCTTTACTTTATTCAAGCTGCTGCCAAATGTATTATCAGAGAGACCATGGTCACTGCACTTTATTTTTCCGCAAGCACTTACTGCTACTATGAAATTATATTAAACGCTTACTTGTTAACTTGGCTGTTGTCTGCCACTCCTGCAGGTATAAATTCTATGAGGGAAAGGGACTTTATTGTTCTTGTTCTCTCCTGTTTCTCTGGTGCCCAGAACAGTGACTACTTGCCACTCAGTAGATGCTCAGTGAGTATTTGTTGACTGAATAAATGTATGCACAGCAACTTCACAGACCCCTAAGTATAAATTTGAAAGCCTTCTAAAAGGCTTTCATTTTCCTATTTCCCATCTAAATGACAAATACCAGGATTTAACTCATTTATATATTTATGTATAATGTTGGTGTTCACATCTAATCTTCCCTTCCTCTTTGTCTAGCTGCTATGAAACTTTGATAATATTCCTCCCTGTAACTGCCTATATTTTCTCGCTCCGAACAGCAGGAGAAAAGCTGAGTGGGGTACAGCTCAGTCCCAGTAACCAACAGGAGATGAAGAATAATGTGGAGAAAGTGCTGCAGTTTGTGGCCTCCAAAAAGATTCGTATGCACCAGACTTCAGCTAAAGGTCAGTGCCTCATCACATCGTTGGTGCAGGAGTATACTCAATGTTAACCAGCGAGTACCAGCCTCAGGAAAATCCTTGGTTGTAACCTGGGGGGAGATAGAAAGTCTCCATTCATTTTATTTTATTTTTATTTTAGTGTTTTTTTTTTTTTGAGATGAAGTTTCACTCTTGTTGCCCAGGCTGGAGTGCAATGGCACGATCTTGGCTCACTGCAGCCCGTGCCTCCTGGGTTCAAGTGATTCTCCTGCCTTAGCCTCCCAAGTAGCTGGGATTATACACATGTGCCACCATGCCTGGCTAATTTTGTATTTTTAGTAGAGATGGGGTTTCACCATGTTGGTCAAGCTGGTCTCGAACTCCTGCCCTCAAGTGATCTGCCCACCTCGCCTTGGCCTCCCAAGGTGCTGGGATTACAGGTGTGGGCCACTGTGCCCAGCCATTCATTTTAATTGAGTACAGACTTGCTTGAGTGTATGAAGGCAAATTAGTGGCTAGAGAAGAAATTATGGCCAGGCATGGTGGCTCACACCTGTAATTCCAGCCCTGGGGCTAAGGCAGGAGGATCACTTGAGCCTAGGAGTTTGAGGTCACCCTGGGCAACATAGTGAGATTTTTGTCTCTATTTTTTAAAAAAGAGAGAAGAAATTACAATATTGGGATATTAATTTTAGAATTTCTCATTTAAGTTATCAAAAATGAAGATTCCATTTTTTTAAGTTCCTTGGGTTTTGTGACCAAATATTACTTAAGATACTCATAGCCTACTTTTTTTCCACCCAGTTTTTTTTAGAAGGGAAATATTTCATAGCCCTTTTTTTGGATACCATAGAACATTCTAGGCAGGATGAAAGCAGCTCTGTGACCTCTGTATCTGCCCTCTTCTGTACTGGCACGGCCCAGATGGGTTTGCAGGGCTATTTTGAGCCTAGGCTTCAAGGAAGGTACAATGTAGGTGTTCTTAGAGAGCATAGGCTCCCTAGTTTTCTTGCTGTTTCTCAAGAATTGACTATAGATCTGGTTCTGTTTCAGCATCAGTTCCTGGGTCTGATTGCCTGTGGATCTGATGACAATAGGGGCAGAAGGGCTCATGTTGGATTATTGGTGTTCTCTGTGTTTAGGTAATTTAGGTAAGGCTAATACTGATCATTGAGAGCATCTTGTAGAAGGTATCAAGTAATCCTTCACCATTCCTACTCAACATAGTACTGGGAGCTGTAGCCAGAGCAATCAAGCAAGAGAAAGAAATAAAAGGCATCCAAATAGGAGAAGAAAAAGTCAAACTATCTCTCTTCACCAATGATATGATTCTATAACTAGAAAACCCTAAAGGCTCTGCCAAAAGGCTCCTAGAACTGATAAACAACTTGAGTAAAGTTTCAGGATGCAAAATCAGTGTGCAAAAGTCAGTAACATTTATTTTATTTTATTTTTCGAGATGGAGTTTTGCTTCATCACCCAGGCTGGAGTTCAGTGTCTTGATCTCAACTCACTGCAACCTCTGCCACCTCGTTTCAAGTGATTCTCCTACCTCAGCCTCCTGAGTAGCTGGGACTACAGGCGTATACCACCATGCCTGGCTTATTTTTGTAGAGACAGGGTTTCATCATGTTGGCCAATGTGGTCTTGAACTCCTGACCTCAAGTGATCCACCTGCCTCAGCCTCCCAAAGTGCTGGGATTACAGGTGTGAGTGCCACTATGCCTGGCCAAGATCAGTAGCATTTCTATACACCAATAACACTCTACCTGAGAGACTAAATTATGAACACAATCCCATTTACAATGACCACACACAAAAAAGAAATATCTAGGAATACATCTAACCAAAGAGGTGAAAGATCTCTATAAGGAGAACTACAAAACACTGCTGTAAGAAATCAGAGGCGACACAGATAAGTGGATTAGAAGAATCAATATCATTAAAATGGCCACAGCTTCCAAAGCATTTTACAGATTTAGTGTTATTTCTATCAAATTACCAATGTTATTTTTCACAGAATTAGAAAAAACTATCCTAAAATTCACATGGAACCAAAAAAGAGCTTGAATAGCCAAAACAATCTTAAGCAAAATTAACAAACCTGGGCTTGGCACAGTGGCTTATGCCTGTAATCCCAGCATTTTGGTAGACTGAGGCGGGCGGATCGCTTAAGTTCAGGAGTTCAGGCCAGCCTGGTCAACATGGTGAAACCTCATCTCTACTAAAAATACAAAAGTTAGTCAGGTGTGGTGGTGCATCCCTGTAGTCCCAGCTATTCAGGAGGCTGAGACAGGCTTGAACCTGGGAGGCCGAGGTTGCAGTGAGCCAAGATCGTGCCACTGCACTCCAGCCTAGGCAACAGAGTGAGACTCCATCTCAAATTAAATTAAATTAAAAAGTAAAAAAAAAAGCTACAAATCGGAGTGTCACATTACCTGACTTCAAACTATACTACAAGGCCACGGTAACCAAAACAACGTGGTACTGGTATAAAAACAGACACATAGACCAATGGAACAGGCTAGAGAACCCAGAAATAAAGTTCCACACCTACAACCATGTGATCTTTGACAATCTCAACAAAAATAAGCCACAAAGAAAAGACTCCCTATTCTATAAATGGTGCTGGGATAACTGGCTAGCCATATGCAGAAGAATGAAACTAGATCCCTGTCTATCACCATGTATAAAAATTAACTCAAGATGGAATAAAGATATAAATGTAAGACCTTGAACTGTAACAATTGCAGAAGAAAGGCTAGTAAATAACCCTTCTTGATATTGGCCTTGGCAAAGGATTTATGACTAAGTCCTCAAAGCAATGGCAGCATAAACAAAAATTGATAATTGGTACCTAATTAAACTAAAGAGCTTCTGCATAGCAAGAGAAACTGTCAAGGGAACAAACAGATAACCTATAGAATGGGAGGAAATATTCATAAACTGTGAATCCAACAAAGGTCTAATATCCAGAATCTATAGGGAATTTTCAACAAGCAAAAACAAATAACCCTTTAAAAAGTGGGCAAAGGACATGAACAGATACTACTCAAAAGAAGACACAGAGTGGCCAACAAACATATGAAGAAAAGCTCATCATCACTAATCAGAGAAATGCAAATCAAAACCACAATGAGATACTATCTCATCCAGTCAGGATGGCTTTTGTTAAAAAGTAAAAAAAAAAGCAGATGTTGGGCTGGGACTGGTGGCTCATGCCTGTAATCCCAGCACTTTGGGAGGCCAAGGTTGGTGGATCACAAGGTCAGGAGATCAAGACCATCCAGGCCAACACGGTGAAACTCTGTCTCTAGTAAAAATACAAAAAAAATTAGCTGGGTGTGGCAGCACATGCCTGTAGTCCCAGCTACTTGGGAGACTGAGGCAGGAGAATTGCTTGAACCCAGGAGGTGGAGATTGCAGTGAGCCCAAATTGCATCACTGCACTACAGCCTGGGCAACAGTGTGGGACTCTGTCTCAAAAAACAAAAACAAAAATAACAGATGTTGGCAAGGTTGTGGAGAAAAGGGGTCACATATATTGTTGGTGGGACTGGAACTTTGTCCAGCCACTGTGGAAAGCAGTTTGGAGATTTCTCGGAGAACTATAGCAATCCCCCTACTGGGTATATACCTAAATGAAAATAAATCATTCTACCAAAAGGACACATGCACCTGTATGTTCATCACAGCACCATTCACAATAGCAAAACCGTGGAATCAACTCAAGTGCCCATCAACAGAGGAGTGGATAAAAAAAAATGGTATATATATACCATAGGATACTATGCAGCCATAAAAAAATAAAATCATGTCCCATGTCCTTTGCTGCTGCATGGATGCAGCTGGAGCCCATTATCCTAAGCAAACTAATGCAGAACCAGAAAACCAAATACTATGTGTTCTTACTTATAATTGGGAACTAAACATTGGGTGCACATTGGGACATAAAGAATAGAACAGTAGAAACTGGGGACTACTAGAGTAGGGAGAGAAGGAGGGAGGAAGGGCTGCAAACTACCTGCTGGGTACTGTGCTCACTATCTGCCTGATGGGTTCAATCATACCCCAGACCTCAGCATCACACAATATACCTCTGTAACAAACCTGCATGTGTACCACCTCCTTCTAAAACAAAAGGTGAGAAAGAAAAAACAAACAAAAATCATCCTTTTCCAAGTCTTACGTATTTAAAGGCTACAAAGCTAAAAAAAAAAAAAAAAGAAAACAAAATGTTACCCATTTCCTTACATTGACTTTCACCAGACTTATCATACTGCTTTCTGCCTACATTCCTCTTTTATTTCTAGGGCAAAATTTAGAGTTTCACAATACCTCTGATCTGGTTCCCATGTGGAGTGGGCTTGGGGATCTGGCCCATTAAAGTCAGCTATTTTGAGGGAACACTGCCATTTAGGACATCATTATCGTTTACCTGGAGAAGTGTTAACAGTCTGTGGGAGTTAGTCCTGTGGCACTGATTTTTGTCCCCCTCTCATCTGCTTTGTACGCTGCAGTCAGAATGATCTTTCTAAGAGTACATATACTCATGCCACTCCTCCATATCTGAGGACCCTTAGGATAAAATCCAGAGTCCTTCCTGTGGCCTACCATGCCCTGTGTGACCCACCCCCTGATTCACCCCCGTGCTGCCTCACCTTTCCCTCTCTCCTCCTGCATTCTGGGCTCTGGGTATGCTGAACTTCTTTCACTTCCTCCACCACAGTGCTGTGCCACAGAAATATAATAAAAGTCACATAGGTAACTTAAGAGTTTCTAATAGCATGCCAGGCGCAATGGCTCAATGGCCTGTAATCCCGGCACTTTGGGAGGCTGAGGCGGGTGGATCACTTGAGGTCAGGAGTTCAAGACCAGCCTGGCCAACATGGTGAAACCCTGTCTCTGCTAAAAATACAAACATTAGCTGGGTGTGGTGATGGGTGCTTTTAATCCCAGCTACTTGGGAGGCTGAGGCAGGAGAATTGCTTGAACCCAGGAGGTAGAGATTGCAGTGAGCCAAGATTGTGCCATTGCACCCCAGCCTGCGCAGCAGAGTGAGACTCTGTCTCAAAAAATAAAAAGTGTTGCCAGGCGCAGTGGCTCACTCCTGTAATCCTAGCACTTTGGGAGGCCGAGGTGGGCAGATCACGAGGTCAAGAGATCAAGACCATCCTGGCCAACATGGTGAAACCCCATCTCCACTAAACATACAAAAATTAGGTGGGCATGGTGGCATGTGCCTGTAGTCCCAGCTATGTGGGAGGCTGAGGCAGGAGAATCGCTTGAACCCGAGAGGCGGAGGTTGCAGTGAGCCGAGATTGCACCACTGCACTCTAGTCTGGTGACAGAGTGAGACTCCATCTCAAAAAATAAAATGAATAAATAAAAATAAAAAGAGTTTCTAATAGCCACATCATAAAAAAAGAGATGAGATTAATTTTAATAATATTTTATTTAACTCTATCTCCATTTCACCATGAAATCAATATAAAAAGTTAACGAGATGTTTTGCATTTGGGGGGCACGTGTATATGCTAAGTAAATACTACACTTAGAGCACATTTCATTTCAGACTAAGGACTTTTTAAGTGCTTGATAGCTACAGGTGGCTGATGATTCCCACATTGGATAGCACAGTTCTAATATATCATGCTCTCTCCCACTTCAAGACGTTCACACCTGCTATTCCCTCTTCCTGGAATACTCTTTGTCTTTCTGTTATCTAATGTACCACTCTTCATTAATCAAGTCTCAGTTTAGAACCCACTTCCTCTAGGAATCCTTCTCTGAGCCGTCTAGATAAGGTGTCTCTACTCTGACCTCCCAAAGAATCCCGTACTTATCAAAACATGTGATCTTACTTTATTGTCATTGTTCTTACATATTCTGTCTCCCTGGTTGCACAGAGCTTTGTGAGGACTGAGACCCTGACTGCCTTGCTTACCTGTATCACTAGCAATGTGTATTAAATGCATAAGTCCTTAGCTTTTGCCCCCCTCTTAGGATCTCTTGGTCTGTTTTGTCCTTCAGATATTGTGGACGGAAACCTGAAGTCTATCATGAGGCTGGTCCTTGCCTTGGCAGCTCATTTCAAACCTGGCTCTAATAGGACGGTGAACCAAGGACAGGACTCCAGAGCCCCTCTGCAAAGTCACCAACCACACTGTGCCACTGCTGTTGCCCAGGGAGCAGCTGCTGCTCTGGCCGATGTGTGTCATGACATGTCCCGATCAGGACGGGATGTCTTTCGATACAGACAGAGGTAAGGGTAGAAATACGGGGATGGGAACTGATCCCTCTTTCTGATATTTCTTCTGTTAGATGATACAGTGCGGTAGATAGAAATGTCACCTATAAAAAATAAATAAAAAGAAAAAAAGAAAAAAAATGCTCTAGCATCTGTGTCCTAATATAAATTACATTTAAAAAAAAAAAGGAAAAAAAAGAAATGTCACCCAGCCACACATTGCAGAAAAGAACATGGAGTGGAGGTAGGGAGGCCACTCTCAAAAGAGAAAAGCCTTTTCTTTGAGATGTTTATTTTTATTTTGCATTTAGCAGAAAGTAAAGGAATCTTATGTGTAAGTTTTTGCTCTGGTGCCCAAAATTTAAATATGTGCCTTTGGCAGAGTGTGTTTTCTTCACTGGGAGGTACGTGGGAAGAATGTTCCAGTTCATCTAGGGGAAGCTCTGCCCTGGAATGTACTCAAAGGTCAGGCTGTCCTAGGGAGTCATGGCAGAAAAAAATACTTTGTGGGTTTTGTATCTGCTAAGAGAGAGCAGGACCCTGAAGTATTGCAGAGATTGGTGAATTACTTGTTTTTGTGTCTGCCTTTCCAGCTAGGTACCAAGTGTCTTTGAGGCAGGGTTTTGTCTTAGTCATCTTATGTATACTGCTCTCAGAGTGGCAGTTTGTCTGTGCTTGCTGAGTTGATCTGATCTGAAGGGCTGACATGCTCCCTTTGCTGGTGTCCTCTGACTTTAGGAACAGCAGCATGGATGAGGAAATTGAGAATCCATACTGGAGCGTGCGGGCCCTGGTGCAGCAGTATGAAGGGCAACAAAAGTCTCCATCTGAATCCAGCTGCTCCAGGTAACTGTGGCCTCTGAAAGCTGAATTCTTGGGAATTCTTGGAGTTCTCGACTTCAAGTAACAATACAACAAGCAAAAAGTCACCTAAGCCCTTTTTCTCTCCCCAGTTTATGTTTGGCTTTAAAGGGATACCCCTTGGCAGTGCTTTGTGGGTTTGTGCTGGTAGGAGGGGAGGAAGGTAGGGTGGGGTGGTGGTATATTTTCCACAAATGGAATCTGTGCAGTTCCAGTGCCAGTGCTTAGCTGTGACCACATCGGGGATGAGTGGAACCTGTCAGGGCCCAGTCCAGTGGTTCTGACATTTGCATATCTGGTACCAGCGTTTATGATAGCCAATTCCATTGTGCTGTCCTTGAGCCTAAGTGTAACTCTTAAGTTATGGCCTGAAAAGCCCATTTAAAGCTCATAGAAAAGAAGAAATTGAGCAGAGGTGTCTTAGAGCATTACAGTGTTTCCGACTCTACAGGAAGTGTGGCTAATTAGTATGCATTTGAGTGAGCTATGATGTTTGCAACTCTAGCCGAAAGCTGTCTGTATCCCTTAGAGCCAAGTACAGAGACCAAAACAGGATACAGTGCCCTAATGAAAACTTTATCGGTGGCAGAAAAAGATTACTTTCCTGGCTCATGTAAATCATGCTCCTATAAACACTCCCCAGATCATGTTTTACTAATTTCATTTTGTTGCTGAATCATAATTTATGCTCTAATGACCTTTTATTTCCTATCCCAACCTGGTGTAATCTGATCTATTTAGGGCTAATTATTCCTTACGTTGTATGTATTTTGTGTTTTTCTTTTCTTCCTCATTTTTTTCCTCATAAAATTCCATCCTATTTTGATGCACCATTTCCTAATTTATTGAGGTCATATGGCACTCTTTCTAGTATTTTAATATACTGATAACTTTACTAACTTTTTACCTTTTACATTTAATAGGTGTGCTTTTTTATTTATAAAATTCACATAACATAAAATTAACCATTAAACATTATAAAGTGTACAATTCAGTGGCATTTAGTATCTTCATAATGTGGTGCGACCATCACCTCTATCCACACAGAAGACATCTTCATCACCCCCAAAAGGAAGCCCTGTGCCCATTAAGCAGCAGGTGTGCTTTTAATGAGAATCTAAATCATTTCTTCCTTGCTTGCTGCTTAGGTTATCACTTGGAGCAGAATTACAGGATGTTTTGTTGTGTAATGAGATCTATTGCTTTCTGCACCTCTGCAGGCCTTTCATTCTTCTAAACCTGATAGTGCCTGCTAGAGTTGGGGGATAGGAGGAAGAGTGGATTTCTTCCTGAGAGCACCTGCTTTCTCCTCCAGGGCAGGAGGACTGAGGGGAGGGCTATGAGACTGGGTGGGGGACCCACTGGCTATCAGGCTGCAGTGAGCTAATAGTGACAGTTTTCTAGGAGAGGGGTCAGAGAAGAATTGTTTGCTTTACCTTGTTTTTTACTAGTCGATTTTGCCATTTTCTTCTAATGCTGACCCCTCGTTCAGCTCTTTGGCATGCTCGTTTAGTAGCTGCCTTTTGCTCAGTGGGCCCCCAGGGAAGGAAGAGGCTTCCTGTGACTATCCGGAACCCAGCAGATTCCTGCACATTCTGAGCCCTTGCCCCCACCCCGGGAGCCCACTTCGTGGCTCTTTGACCCATGAAGAGCCCAGGAGTCCCCAGATGTGGCCTGTTCAGGATGGGAGTGGCTCAGAAAGGACAGTCCCTGGGTGTCTCATCCCCTGCCACTGCTCCTCGGGAGACGCCCTGGGGAAGCCCTGCCAGCCTGTTGCTCTGAAAACCACATACCAGCCTCTCACTGTAGCCAAGCGGAATGATCCTGAGTTGGTTAAAAAGAACACACGAAACGCCAGAAGGGAAGGTGGGAGGGGATAGGTGCTAGGCAGGTTTCCTGGGGAGCACTGGAGTCTCCATCCTGAGGAGCTGCCAGAGCCCCTTGCGGGCCTGACCTGTCCGACCTCGCCTCCACGAAGGGAAGGCTCAGAGTGGAGAATGCAGCGTTTTCGGTGCCGGGCTCCCCAGTACCCAGACCACCAGAACCCTCCTCGGAATTCTGCCTTTCCGCAGCCCTTCCCCTCCCTATCCTGGGGCTCCCAGTCTCTCCTCTCAGCATCCCCCAACCCCTCGTCGACGCCCCCACGCCCACCTCCACCCCGCCCAGCCCCGCCCCCGGCTCGCACCCCTTACCTCCGCCCAGAGCGGTCGGTTGGCCAGCCCAGCGGAGCTGGCTTGGATCGGAGCCCGGCCGCCTCGCGGCTGGTGACAGCCCCGGGAGGCAGCAGAGGGAGGGGCGGGGAGGGATCCGGAAGGTGTCGCGGAGCGGGATCGCCGCTGGGGACTTGAGGCGCAGCCTGCGCCGCCGGGAGCCTCCCTCCCAGTGGCAAATGGGGTGAGATGCCTCCGCCTGGGGGGATGCCGGGCACCGTGCGTCCGCGGAGGCCAAGATGCAGAGGCCAGGGGCCGGCAGCCTGCGAGGGGTGGCAGCTTCCGCCGGGGCCGGGCCGCAGCAGAGTCTGAGCGCCCGGGACGGCGCGCTTCAGAGCCGGGAGCATCCTCGTCGCTGGGGCCGAGACGCCGCCGCTGCCGTTCCCACTTTCTCCCGCGAGCCGGGCGAGTAGCTCCGCTAGCTGGCCTTCCCGTGGAGGCGTTTTCCAGCCCCAGCGCGGGGAGACATGCCTGAATTTGGGAGTGATGTGACTCTCAGCCTCCCACTTCACCCGGGGACACAGGCTTGCTGAAACCCAAGACAGGAGGGGGACCATGGGAGGGACACAAGTCAAATGGTGAGCTGAAGCCACTCTGGCTTTGAAAGCGGGGGGCCTGGGTGGGAGCAGGGGCAGGGCTGAAGGATGCTTTTGGCCGGAGACAGGTGGTGAGGGGGTGGCGGGAGCACTACGTTGGGAGACAGGCTGCTGACCAGGGGTTATCACTATAAAATACGGTGGGCTTAGTAAGTGGAGCCAGCATGGGGGAAGGAGGAGTAGCCCTTGGCCCTGCCAGGGTCTCTGTTGGGGGAGGGCACTTCCTGAGGATACAGGACTCTTCCTTATTGCCTATTATCCATTTAAAAAATTAATTTGACTGGGATTTGGCAGTATCTTTGCTGCGGGATTGCTTGTCTGATAAATTAAGATAGAAGACCTATTAGACCTGTGGGAATTAAGAAATGTATCAGCCCAGACCTGATCAGTCGTTCTCTGACCTCAGAGAGGATTATGATGATAAGTAGGGGATTACTTGTTTATAAAATAGGACTTTTAAGCTAATCAGGGAGGAGCCTGTCATATACATAATTAATTAGCATTAAAATATTTTTCTCTGACCTGGGACAGAGGATTTAATGCATCTTCCTCCTCCATGAGGTACTTCTTAGGGAGGCAGCAGGGTGCCTGCTCTAACATGTGCCTCGGGAGTTTCCTGCCTGAGGTCCTTTATATCTCCACTTGGCCATCGAGTTTCTTGGTCTTACCTCTCTGTGGCCTCACATTGGCAGCCTCAATTCAAGAAAGAGAAATGTTGTTTTCCTTTGACTGCTCTGCCACTCCCCCAGCGGGGCTGGATATCCAGACATCCGCCTCCTTCTGCCCTTATATGGGAGACAACTCTGTTAGGAGGGAGAAGGAGCTGAGCATGCGTCTGTGCTTTTAGGAAAGCAGTTTTCTAGCACCCTGGGTTCACACTGCACCCTCCTCCCCGACTCCATCTCACATATACCAACTGTGGTCCAGCAAAGGCAGACAGTGGAACATGTCATCCATAGCACCTTGTCAGATGAGAAAGTGTTGTTTTCTTATTTCTCAGAGATGAGCAGCTCTTGCAGGCCGCTTTCTACGCTTGGATTCCCATTTCTGTAAGAAGGTAAATGCTGAAGCCTGAGCAGTCACAAGTCTATTCTCCTGGTGAATGACGTAGTACCCTTGGATGAGAGCTTTTCAAGCAGCTAATTCATGTTGCCCTGGAAGTCAAGATTGCCTAAGTGGTGAAAGATGAATGAGAAAGTTCTAGAAAGTAGTTGCTATTTCAGAATATCACTTCTTGCCTCTCCCCACCCCTCCTGCCTGTTTGGGTTATAAATCTATAGATATGGCTAAGCAACTTTGTTTAATTTGCGATTTCAATTTAAAAGCTTTACAATGTTTTCTGTGGTTGTAAGAGGAAGAGAATGTATTTCCAGTTGAGGTCATTCCCACCAAAGCCCTTAAAATACTGGCAATCAGGAGGATGAGACACTAGTCCTCAGGCTGCCTCACTGCTTTTGAAGTGCCTGGCTACCTCCACTGTGCCTGGCTCTTGTTTTTTACTGGATTCTAGGAAGACGAAATGTTAACTCCTGATCGTGGTTGTGAGGATTCGCTTGGGAGACTTCAGGGGCACATTAAGTGGGTCAGTGAATCCTAGCCACTTTCACTGTTGTCTGGGTGATGGATTTGGAAAGAATTCCTGAGAGGGGGCTGGGCCTGGAGACCCCTCAGCCCCTGAGATTGTTTCAGTGCTGATGTTCTCAAGGTGCAGTGCAAAGAGAAATGGCTCATTACTCCTTTTCCCTGTCAGATGGGAGCACCAGCCTCACATTCCCATCTTGTCTTGTAGATTTGCTGTTGTTTTAGAGATTTAAAATTCCAATTCCCTGATAATCAGCATCGTTCCCTCCAAGGCTAGTAGTTATATCCGAACTTAAGGGGCAGGTATGGTGGCCCATGCCTATAATACCAGTACTTTGAGAGGCCGAGGAGAGAGGATTGCTTGAGCCCAGGAGTTTGAGACCAGCCTGGGCAACATGGGGAGATCCTGTCTCTACAAAATAATCAAAAAATTACCTGGGCATCATATGCAGCTGTAGTCCTAGCTGCTCGGGAGGCTGAGGCAGGAGATTTGCTGAAGCCCGTGAGCTTGAGGCTGCAGTGAGCTGTGATGGAGCCACTGCATTCCAACCTGAGAAACAGAGTGAGACCCTGTCTCAAAAAAATAAAACAAAACAAAACCTTAAGAATTGTTGAGAAGATTTTGAGGACAATTTCAAAGTATTGTGTCAGAAATATAAATAACTCTTTGATAGGAATAAATCAAGTAAACCCTTACTCTAATATCCCTAGCAGTCTTTCCCCTTTTGACCTATTGCCTTCCCCTTGTCATGCTCTAGCTCAATTATTGATCTGTAACTGCTCCTCTGCCCAGCCTGCCAATGTACCGCCTCCAGTAACTTTTCCCCTTGAACCACCCCCACCCTGTACTCTCCTTTGTGATTAGCTCAGAGCTGATCTGTCATGATAACTTGGCTGGTATTGCCTGTATCTGTGAGAGATCAGTGTATTGGAAATAAAATTTCCTTCTAGCTCCAAAAGCTACTAGACACAGACTGGCATCAATCTTTGAACGTGGGCCCAGGGATGGTGATGACAGAGGTGGTAGGAGGTAAAACAAAACAAAACCTCAAGTTCATTGAATGCTAGATTACCCATCATTTTGGTAAATCTCTTCTCAAAGAATTAGGCTTAAAGGCATCCTTGTTGTGGAAAGACCTTATAGGACTGGGTCATTCCTTTATTCAGTATTAATTTCATTCATTCAAAAAGTTAATCATTAAATAAATATTTTATTTTCCGTGGGCCAAGTATTGTGTTAGCCATGGAGGAGTAAGATGAATAAGAACATGTCCCTGGTCTCAGAAATAAATTATGAAAGCTGCTTTCTGAACAATTCTTCATAATAATAGTTTTTCCTCCTTTTTCTTCAATGACAGCCTGACTTCACCCAGTCCAATCCACAGTGCAAAGAGCGAGTCCATTATAACCCAGTCAGAAGAGAAGGCAGATTTTGTGATTATTCCCTCTGAAGGAATAGAGAACAGAACAGGTACTGTCTCTCTGCCTGCCTGGGTTGGTTCAAGGAATCGCCAGCTTGAAGAATTTAGAGGTCCCAACCACCTATAAGCCCCCTGGCCTTCCCCATCTCCATGGTCTGTGCATGCAGGGTCAGTGCTAGAGGGCTCTAATGACTTTGAGCCAATTAATGTGGTTATCCTCTTGCAGAATGTCATTTCTGATGTCCTAGCTGTCAAAAATCTTGCGGCAGCATAGACAGGCCCTTTCTTAGCTGGCTGCCTATGAATTAGGAAATGACTTTGGGGCAGTCAAAAGCCTTACTCAAGTACACACTTTTATTTTTCCTATCTTATACAAATAATTGCAGTACTTACATAACTTAAATTGGTACCAGAAATACATTGTATGAGCTGAGGTGTCTGTGAGGACATAGAGAGTAGAGAGCAGGACTGTATTAGGCTTGGTATGAAGCTACAGACAGGACCATAAAGAGCTCCCTTTGTTTAGACTTTCATACTGTTTCAGTTGCTCTTTTTTCTTACATAGAGAGAGAAACATGTGAGAAGCAAGGTGCAAAACTTCTTAGAATTTTCTTTACCCACAAGAGTTGTACTGAAATAGAGGCCCTCAGAAGAAAAACTGGAATTGAATTCTTCCACATTCTGCTCCCCGTCTAACCCTGGCATTAGTACCAAAAAGTCAGTCATGTTGTTGATTCAAAACTCCAGGGGCTTTGGAGAGAGAGAGGGAGAGCATTTAATGAGTGCCTCTCTGGGCCAGGCACCAGCACATGCCCTGCACATAAGTTGACTTATTTAATCTTCACAGCAAACCAGAGAGGTTATTATACTTGTCTCATGAATGAAGAAACTCACTGAAAGAGTTTATGCCTTCCTGAATTCAAGAATGCATTTTAAATGGCTGTACATACAATTAGATAGTACAAAATAGACAAGGAAACCAGAGCACAGAGACCTTAAAGCTAGGAAAATAAAAGTGATATTAAACAGTGTGTGCAGCTGCGTTTTTATTTGTTTGTTTCCTGTGTGACTCACACAGTATTCTATATGAAAGCGGTCCAGTTATAACTGAGTTGTCAAAGGAACATTGAGTTGAGGTCTCCCCCGTAAAGCTTCAGAGTAACCAGTAAAATTTTGTTTTCACTGCATCTGACAGCTTCTCTCTTTGTACCTGGCAAAATCAGGCTCTGGGAATGCCAGTTCTAAGAATTAAGGGTAAAATCTGTGTGGCCCATACCGTACCAGTGGTAAAAGCGAATCTTACTACTTCCTGTTTTAAAAGAGGATAGATTGTTCTAGCACCAAGTGAGCCTGGGGCCTGAGTTCACAGCCAATTTATGCTTCACAACCCCACCTGGTGGAGAGTCCAGTCTGTGCTATGAAAACAGGTTCAGAATGCAGGTGACCTGAACCTGTGAATGCTATCCTGTGAACGCTTTCTGCCGAAAATCAGTTTTCTTCAATATGAACTGTACTCCCTCTTTTCATTTTGTAGAGGAGACAGATTCTCCATTATCTCGTGACTGGCGGCCAGGGAGCCCTGGAACCTATCTGGAGACCTCATGGGAAGAACAGCTGTTGGAACAACAAGAATATTTGGAAAAAGAAATGGAGGAAGCAAAGAAAATGATATCAGGACTACAGGTAGCTCTTTCCCTTGTAGTTTTCCCTTGTTATACCAATTGATTATTAAGTCACTAGCATCCATTGAAAATAAACTGATTTTAGTTTTGCAGGAGGTCAGAACTGAATGAGGAGATTAGATATAGGGAGTAGTATAGAAAGAGTAGAAAATTCTTTATATTTGAGTACTTTAAATGAACTTTGTGGGCTACTGTTCATAGCACAGCACTTAGGATTTCGGCAAGCCCAGGAGCCATTACTGACCCCTAGCAAGCCCTTATTCTTGACTCTCTGCTACACAGGTGGGCTTGTACCCCATATGTTGCTATAGACCTGCAATTGCAGCTTTAACCAAAGAATGGCACTGAATAGTCAGGGATTTTTTCCTAGAAATTCTCTAGCAGGAAGAGTGTAAGAGCCAATAATGCTGACAGGTTTCCATTTGAGTTTAGCTAAGGGATTTAGCACACTCCTAATACATGTGCAAATGGATGTCAAGGCGTAATGGTCAGGCAGAAGAGGTTTTTCCTTAAGCAACATTGCCCTTCAGTTTTTCCTATACCTGTAGTGCCAGCTCGGCAAATCTACCCCAGAGAC